ACCTGAGCCGAAGGCAGTTGCTTAACCAACTGAGCCACCCAGGCGCCCAGTGGTAACTTTTCTGTTCATAGAATTGCTGCTATTCTTTTTGTTGTTGTTCCTGATTTTTTAATTTTTTTTATTATGTTATGTTAATCACCATATATCACATCATTAGTTTTTGATGTAGTGTTCCATGACTCATTGTTTGCGTATAACACCCAGTGCTCCATGCAGAATGTGCTGCTATTCTTTTCTTTGATCTCCTGTTGAGTTTGTAGGTGTTCTGACTGGTTTGATAATTATCTAGCTAAATTCCTGGAACCAGATGAAATTTAGGTCTCCTACTCCTCCCCCATCTTGCTCCTCCTCAGTCAGGGAGATTCGAAATGTGACACAGAGACACAACGTGAGCAAAAGCTGTTGGAAAAATGGCACCAACAGACTTGCTCAATGCAGAGTTTCCAAAAAACTTCAATTTTCAAAAAATGAAATATCTTGATTTTCCTCACTTCAGTTGAACTCCCTGCAGCCCTGGAAGGACAGGGCATGTTGGAGGCTGCGGGCCGGCCTGTTCCAACCACTGCCACCAGTGAGATGGGGAGGGGCAGCAGGACTACTAGGTGGGAGTGCTCAAATGAATTTTATTTCTAATCAATGATGCATTTACTCTTATTTATGAACATTTCATTCACATCAAAATATTTTAGAGTCCTTTTCCTAGTATTAATTAACTTACTTTTATTTATTTATTTATCTATTTATCTATTTATTTAAGATTTATTTATTTATTTGAGAGAGAGTGCATGAGCACAGGAGCAGGGGTAGGGGCAGAGGGAGAAGGAGAGAGAGAATCTCCAGCGGACTCCCCACTGAGTGCAGAACCCAGTGCAGGGCTCAATCTCAGGACCCTGAGATCATGACCTGAGCCAAAATCAAGAGTTTGATGCTTAAACGACTGAGCCACCCAGGAGTCCCCTAGAATTAATTAATTTAAAGCTAGTGTGCATAGTAATATAAATTTTAATTTGCCATTAAACCAACTTAATATATATATTTATATTATATATGAACTAAATAGATACTTTTGGGATTCACAACCTTTCAATGCACATACATTTAATCCAATGCTATGCTAATGTATACTAAAGGCCCTGTTCTGTGCTGAATTTCTTTTTTCTGCTCTCAGAGATACCATGGGGAATAAGAACAATACAAAAAGAGCTTGCAACATCGCGTAGAAAGGTTACCATCAGTACACAACTCTGTGCATTTAAGGCAGATACGTAGAGGCAACTTCTCTTAATAAGAACAGTTTTACTTCCAATCATTAGTGCTTCAGTTTTTCATATGAGAGAAAATAAATAAGAGACATGTTTTCTGAGAACATTCAGTTATAGAACTTTCAGAGAGAGGGGGAAAAACATGAAATCAAGGGAAAATGAACATAAAATTTAGGTCACTGCTAAATCAATATTTTCTCTGTGGGTTTTTCTTTACCAGTTGCTTTTATATGCACTTCACATCTAAGTATTTAGACTAAATGCATTTGAAAATCTTGCTTTTCTACTGATGCTCCATTAGCATGAGTGAACTCTGCTGCATCAGAGTCCAAGCTTTTTTAAAGCAAGGAGGAGGCTGAGGGACCTATGCACTCAACAACAAATCATTCTGATTTTATTAAGTCATGTCTGACACTCTTTTGCCCCAGTGCCTTTTGACTTCTGCTTCATCAGAAGTCTAAATTTCTGCAACATGTGAAGTAGGTGTCTAAGACATTTGTAGCCTTTTTCTATAATATGTGAACCTGAGGACTTCTTGTTCTCTATTCATCCCAAATTAACTTGTCTCAGAAGACTAAATGGGGCCTCCTATATTGATTTGGATTGCTATTCCCACCATTTGTATGTTCATCATTATATTCCTTTATTGATGTTAGTCATATGTCTTTTATGGGAAGATAAATGGGAGAAATTATAAGTTGTATTTCTTTAGTGACCCAGGGATCAGAAACTATGGATATTTCTTCTCTTTTGTATAGTTTCCTGGAGTCCTTGTTTTCTTTGTTTTCCTCAACAAATGTTGCTAATAAAGGATATGGAGACCTTGTTTTGCATGTCTCGGCATTTCTCAAATTACTAAAATCTGTGCTCAATAAGCCTCTGTGTTATATCTTCTCTTTCCTCCACCTACAAACTCTGTTTCTTCCCCTGTTCTTTCCCTATGCAAATAAGCCTGTTGTTTGCTATCTGAACAAAGGAGGACCCTTTGTTTTTATTTTGACCCTAGAGCTACAGCCTTTTCTCCTCTTCATCTTCACATCCAAAGTGTTTGAAAATGCAGTTTTCACCTTCTGTCTCCATTTTTAAATTTTTTTTTATTATGTTAAGTTAGCCAACATATAGTACATCATTAGGTTTTTTAAAATTTTTTTATTGTTATGTTAATCACCATACATTACATCATTAGTTTTAGATGTAGTGTTCCATGATTCATTGTTTGTGCATAACACCCAGTGCTCCATG